AGAAAATTAGTGGTACTCAAATTTTGAGAACAGCACTAACTATGAAATTTTTTTAAGGGGAGCACAAAAGGACAATTTCAACATGCATGAGGAAGACTCTTAAGTCTTAACAAGCATGGTTGGAGTCGAGAGAGATCTTACAGCATTTTTTAGAGCCATTAACATAGACAGTCTCCAATTACTGTCTCCATAAATTGCAACTCTTTCAGGTGGTAGTATGAGCTGAAAATCCTCAAATTTATTATCATGCTGTTACATCAGACCGTGGGACTAAGGTTTTCAGGTTATACGAAATACTAGTATCAGTATGAATAGCCTCCAACAACACTTCTTGTCCCTTGGATATGAATACACCCTTCCCAGGAAGGAACCAGACACATTGTTTCCAGTGGTCACACCAATCCTGGTCACCTAGTGGAGCACCAGAAAATCACAAGTTAATGGTCAAAAACCTCAACAATATAATTTATCTATACATACACACATATATAATCTTCTGTTTCAAAATTTCCCTCTGGATTCACATTCAACTACAGGGTCTTCACTCTTCACATCATATAACAAAAAAACAATAAAATGTATTTTCCCAATGTTTTGAAATATATTTCCTTATTAGCACAAAAAACTTAAATATGCCTACTTGCACAAACTATATGTCAGGAACTAACCTGTGTTGATTGGTGAATTTATCCATTGAGGAGCAGTTGAATAAAAGACTGTTCCTTCACGATCAAGCTGAAGTATCCACCTGCAACAAGAGTGGAGGCACAAAGACACACTTTCAGAAAAAGCTTATAGACTATCTTAGGGAAAAAAATTTGTGACACAAATAAAGGCAGATATAAATGTTGTTACCATGAAACTACAGCATGAACACAACCATCCTCTGTCGCCTTTATTTGGAGCTCAGCTTTTCCATGACTGTTTGGCCGTTTCCAAAAGTCAAATTCAAATATTTTGAAGGGGTCTGACAGCTGGATAAATCCTAAATTATATAGGAATTAAAACATTTACTTTCCTAAGTCTTTAGAAGTGCAAGTAAGGCAGTTACCAGCTTAATTTCTTTTGTTATTGCATCACAGTGCATTGGATATTGGTGTGGTTTGACACCTAAAATAGTATCAAAGCCAGCAGGAAGAAGATGTATGCCATCTGATGTTTTTGCTTCATTACCACGTAAATCATGTAGCTTCCAAAAGTATGTGCTTTCAACCAGCTACAAAAGGAAGAGAGAAAAAGAAAAATAAATCAAATAATAGATAGAACAAAAACAATAAAAATGAAAAATAATGGTTAAATCACAAAACAACCAGCAGCAGCAGAAGAAAAGTTATCTACCTATCCACCATATAGGAATTCTTGAAGACAATCAGATGATAGAAAAGAGTACAAAGAAAATCAGATGCTTAACCAATTTACCCAAAAAAAAGGGATTTAGTAGAAGATAAGACGAAAACCTGGCCATAGGTAGTTGCACGGTAGGGCACTGTTAGTGGATTTTGCACCAATAGCATGTCATGCGCATGTAGCAGAGTTGGTATTAGCCCTTCACCTAACAACTCCGAGTCCAGTATCTCACTAACCTGTAATTACATAACTGAGGAACTCAATGTTTTGAAACCAGGGAGCCAAATCAAAACACAACACCCTACACTTGAATATTTCACAAAATTCCCCAACACAATCTACGACATATGCTCTGATTATGATTCCAGTATGCTTCCATCATCCCATTTCAATGATAGATTATAGTTACATGGCTACATGCTCAGTAAAACTTAATAATTGACTTTTATGGTACATTAGAAATGAACCTTAGCATTTCATAAGCCAAAGTTGTCCCATTTACAAATAAAAGAATCTGCAATCTTTACTTCTCCACCATCCATCAAAGAAGATAACTTTGACTAGCAATCACATTCAAATAAATCAAGCCATGAAACTTACCAATTGGTATCGAAGTCAGTGAGGCTTGTAGAGTTGCAGAATGGTTTCTAAATTGGCACACAAGGGAAGGAACTTGGGAAGAAAGAGGAAACATAGACGGTGGAATAAGAAATTGAGAACAGCACAAAATCCTTCTAATTCTAAAAGTAAGTTTATTTTTTTAATTAAAAATTACACATCAGCAAATTATGTGGCCACCTAGTAGTGTTGGCAGCACATTTGCAGCTAAATGTTCGCTGTTTGTATTATTTTTTATTTTATTTATATATTTTTTATATTATATAAACAAAATAATATTAAAAAAACATATATAATATCTTATAAATATAAATAAGATTATAATCAAGTTTATGTTTAATAACTTAAAATTTTTAATTTAAAGTCAAAATTAAATTAAGAGGCTCAAACTTTTGTCTTGTTTATCAAGTTAAAATTCTTTATTTAAGACCAATTTAATATATTAAAATTTTTATTTTATCAAGTAGTTTTTTCTTTTTTTCGGTTTCCCGTCCGGTATCCGAGGTTTCGTCCCGACTAATTCGGACCCGACCCGCGTCACGCACCTGGAAATGGTGGGTGAGTTTCCCAACGAGGACTGCTGCATTCACAAGGACTCGAACTCGAGACCTTGCTTAAACTGGAACAAGCCGCTTACCACTTGATCCAACCCCTCGTTGGTATTTTTTATCAAGTAGTTGATTACCTTACTTTATGCTGTAAAAATAATAATATTTTAAAAATAAATATAAAAAATAAGTGAACTTTGCATACACTCACAACTTTTATCGAGGGGAAAGAAGGAATTTTGAGCTCGCAAAGTCTCCGTAAAAGAAATATCGGAATAATCAAGCCGACAAAGTGGACCCGCCTTCGACAGAAACTGAGAAAAGGTGAGCTCTTTAAAGAAAGAGTTTTTTAAGTTGTATTTTAAGAATAAATATTAAGAATTTAAAAAAAATAAAAAATAATATTTAATATATTAATTATTTAATTAAATTTATTTACATGATAATAATAATAAAATTAATATTTATTTTTATATTTTTTATAAATTTAGAATAAAAAAACATTTTAAACATATATTTTAAAGATGTAAAATAAAAAAAATTAAAGTACAGGCGAACTCCGTTTTGTGAATAGTACCCACCGTCTTCGATTATTCAAATATATTAAATTGATCGAATAACTACGTCAGGATTGTACTTTCACTAACAACTACTTGTACTTGTTATTGAAAATCCAGTCCATGACTTAGTCATTCGACCCGTCTAATATATTTGCTAACCTAACCAGGGTGCTACAACGGTAGTATATATAAAGTCGTTTAACATTATTTGCTCTCGATGTGGGATTCTAACAACGTATTTTGTAGCAGAGTTGGAGATCACATGACACTCGAACAACCACTAAAGGCCCAGCTATACAGCGGCCTTCGGTCGAGCGATCCAAACAGGACACCCTTCAATCTACCCATGTGGAAGGTGAGCCAGGCTTTAGGATGCCGATGCGGAGACCCGATCAGGCGGAGGCCGTTCCCTGGAGGCAGCAGGTGGATCGCGAGGTTGCCAGATCTGGGATCCCCCGTGTGCACGGCCACAGATAGAAACTACCGGATGGAGGGGACCACCGCCGAATCTGCAAGCAAACCAAACAGCAACAAACAAAACAAAGAAAAAACTCACGCAAAGAACAGAAAAAACAAAAAGCCACCGGAGGGGCTACAAACCGACAGGCCGCGGAGGTCATCGGAGCAGGGAGCATAAAGCTCCACCATGCTTGAGCAGCCGAGGAGACCGGCGACTCAAGCAGCAAAAACGCGGCAGCCCAAGGGCTTCCGCTCAAAAACAACGGGTCGCCGACAGGGGCGTCAGAAGCAGGAGGAGATAGGGAACGGGAGAGAGAGAGATTTGTTGAGATGGATGTTTTTGTTGGACTCTCTTCTAATTTGTTTGATGTTTGTATTGGAGAATAAATAGAAAAAAGAGGTGTAAAGGCTTAAATTAATAATTAATATAATTTAAAACTAAGAGCAATACAAAGAGATTGAAATATTCTTAATATGAGTGACATTAATGCATGTTATAAAAAAATAAAATGATATGTAAAAAATTAATTAAAACTATTAGTTTTATAAGTAAAAAAGATGGCAAAAGAATCTAACAAATTAAAATATATATTTAGTTAGAGGAAAAAAAATACATTTGGTTGATAAAAATAAAACGTGTAAGATAATTAATTCATTAGAAAATGTATTAAATATATTCATTAATAAATTTATTATATACTCTCTCTATGCTAAAATAATTATCATTTTTTTACTTTTATTTTTTTCCAAATTAAGTATTTAAAGACAATTTATATATTTATCTACAATACCCCTAAAAAAGAAATAAAAGAATGAAAGACTTTTTGTGATTTAATGATTAATTAAAATAAATTAATAATAATGACATAAGAAAAAAATATTTAGATATCTTAAAAAATAACATTTAATTTAAGATAAATTTAAAATAAAAATACTTATTTTATTAATAATTTCTTAATAATTAAATTAATTTAGAATTTTTGATTAAAAAAATTAGTATAAAATTAAACAAGTAATATAAAAAAATAAAAATAATTTCGTACAACGTACAAGCTAAA